CTTTTACTTTTTCACTGTGAAAACAAAACATAAAATAATAAATGACTGTTTTATTGGCACAAGAACAGGTCCAGGATAGACAAAGACAAAGTTTCAGTAACCCTCAGAAGTCATTAGGAGCTCATTGCACATTTAAATACCGTAAAAACACCTTATTTTTGCAATCCATATTGACTCTAATGTATGGTGAAATTTTGCTGAAATCTCAGTATATTTGTCCAAATTGTGGAGAAATATGTTTTTAACACTGAATATGGGCTAGGGTGGATGGGCTGCCAGGGGAAGCAAAAAGCCCCCCAAACTGCATGTTACTGGCAGTTAGTAACACATTCTCCTATGTCATTAACGGTTTCAGAATGTTACTCTACCTGCCTGTACAATCCACCCTGGTCAATATCAATGCTGCGCCTGCACAGTTTGTGCATTTCTGTTGGTGTAATTTTGTATTGCATGCTTACAATTTGTCTTGTCTCAGTCAATACACTTAGACCCAAGTGTGTCTTCCACACTCTAGTTATTGATTTTAGATGTACTGACACAGAGCAGGCAATGTCTATTTCAGCCTCTTCTTTTCCAGTCTTGGCATGCCTTGTGTGGTTATGACTTCTGATCATACTAAGACTAGCCACAAACTGGGGTAGGAGAGGGGTGACTCACGAAAGTTGGCCAAAGTAAAAAATTAAATGCTTCCCCCTATCACTATAGCTCCTCTCCCTGCTGATGGCGTGGACGATCAGATTTCCTTCTGCAGTCAGGTCATAGTAGAGATGCCACTGATCAATATGTTTCTTCTCCCCCAGTTTGGCATACAAAAATGGCAACCATAGGTGTCGTCTATACCAGATTTTTCCTTGTTACTTACTATTGTAGCAGCACATCCATAGACAACTGTATCATGCTAATTGGGGTGAGGAGGGCATAAACAATCCAATAGTGACTTGAGGTGACAAGCGGAGAAGAAATACAGGTTTTAGCAAATATTTTAACATTACTAATTTTGTGATATACAGATGTAAGCTCCTTTTGCTATTATCCTGATCCATGCTTGAGAGCCACCTACCTAGGCAGATCAGGTATGCAGGACGAATGTTTAGTCTTTTTATACCTCATTGGCTGCATTCCTATTTCACACCAGTAGTTCACAAGGTAATGATACAAGGATGAGGACAGTCTTAAGCTAGAAAATATAAATATCCTCCAGTGCCCAGGTCTTCACTAAGGTGGAATTAGTGACAGTATATGTTACTGACCCACTGGGGCTATGAAACTTTAGTTATATTCACAGCAATTAAAACAGGTGAAAGATAAGGCTTGCCAACAATCTCTATATTACAGTTATCAGACGCCCTCTCTAACCTGGTGTTTTAATGTTAATTGTTCCTGGTGTCTGTCAACTGGAGAGACAATTACAAAATAGGAAGGAAAAAGTGAGCACCATAGACCTTTTTGTCAAGAGGCAACTTTCATTTGTTTCAAATGTTTCATATACTTATTGAAAGTAAATCTGTAGCCATGCAGAAATATCTTTCAACTGTTTCAGTAGGCTCCCTTTCCGTTGGTTGACCTCACACCAATACAATGGCATCTATTTTGAAAATAATCTACACAGACCTCAGTGTAACATTGGTTGTTTAAGTGAATGTATCATTTTTCATATGTATTTTCTTTATTTGTTTATTATGCTGAGAAATACAATATATTTTTTGAAAACATATCGTTTCATTTTGGTAATTAGGTGTAAACAATTCAATATTAGCCTATCCCATCCCACCTCAACCTAAAGCCTCAAGCCTATCCCACCTCAACCTAATCACTAAACCATCACATTCTCAAACAATTCATCCCCACGCAGCTACCTCCTCATGTATCACTGGCCTCTCCCTTTTAGATTGTAAGCCCTCGTGGGCAGGGCCCTCCTTACCATCTTCTCTTGAATTGTATTGTAATTGTAAAGTCTTCCTTATATTGTAAAGCGCTGTACAAACTGTTGACACTATATAATCCTGTGTAATAATCATATTAATAATAATAATATTTCATTTTCACATTTCCAGCCAGCCAGGTGGTGCTCTAGGTTCCTTTTCACCTGTTTAGTAGGCTAATCTTGTAGGAAACAGTTGCTTACAGAGCTCCTTAGTTTATTATTAAATATATACTGTAGACAAAGACATAGTTAAATGAGTCAGAGGAGTGACTAACCTCTGCGTCCCTTCCTGCACTGTCCATAAGGGCTGTATAGAGATTTATTTAGAAACAGACAGTCTGAAAGCAAACAGCATTTTCTCTGCCCTCTTTTCAGATAACCAATAATACACTAACGCCAGTTTCATGGATGCACTCTGTATTCAATGCCTATTTGTACAGTAAAGATTATGTATACAGGGCCAGATTTTGACAGCCTGTAACTAAGCTTACTTGTGATGTCTGTATGATTCAGGGAAAAGGGGCATGGGTGAAAATAAACATTAAACATACAAACTTAAATACATTAAAGTAAAGTAATATTGAATAAATACATATTAGAATTTCCCTTTAAAGTGCATGGGCTGTTATTGTTGCATTTTTTTCACCATGTTATAAAAGAACAGAGAGTCTTCTATTGTAAGTAGAGCAGAGTGATAAATGTCTCTCGGTGGGAGGGTGGACTGTATACACACAAAGCATCAACATGATTTAGGTATCACTGGCTCAGCTCACAGGGAAGAGATTGAAAATCCTGCAGACCCTAAACCACCTGTTAGGAGCAAAGCACCATCTGTGGGAACATCTTTTTGCAGATTTGACAATATATTTTGAAAATATGTGCTTTGCGTCCAACACACAGGATTACTAAAGGACCAGGTTTTATAATTTAGGCATAAATTCCAGGTGAGGCTTATTGTTCCTATATTACTGATACATGTTGTATTAGCACATACTCAGAGTAGCTACTTTACCAGCTCTTTAGTAAGGGTTTGATAACAGGAAACAATCTAATCAAAATCATAAGGCAAATTCAAGATATGAGTGGAATGACCCATATTATGACGTGCAATGACCAAAGCAAACAATTTTCTGATTGTAAAATATGATTGGTTGTGATGGATTTCTGCATTTCACCACTGCTTTTTGGCTTTTATCATTTCATGTGTTAATCTTATCACTTTGTAGAAAATACTTATTTAAAACAAGGCTTCTCCACCTGGTGGTCTAAACATGCAAATGATGCTATTTTACCATTTGTGGTTGTTATTGTTGAGAAATGTTGTTGTGGTGCTTGAATGAGTTTCAGTTATAGAGCATAAAAGTACGTTTGTAAAATGACTGTTCCACAAATACTTTAAAAAAGAAAAAAAAAAAAAAGAAAAAGAAACATGATTTGTACTTAGCACTGATCTTCTGGGAGCTGTCCAGTGCTGAAACTTTACTTCTAGCCAAAATATATTTAAAAGGTTCCCCTACCCATGCTCACACATTCTTGTTTTCTGGCTTTGTCGTCTTTTCATGTTGTGTCTTAACAAGTGCTTTCATGGGGTCAGTGCTTAAATATCAGACAATGTGACATAATCTATATCCGTTTTGTTGGGCAAATATATGCAATCCAGATGGCATTGACTGAACTAATAACATTTTCCATTGGGCCCCTTACTAATTAGTGACTGCTGGTCTGCAAGGTGATCTGGCTTTTATTTAAATGCAGGAGTCATCGCAGATTAGGGGTTGGGATTCCCTGCCCCCTGTGATGTAATAGCCCTAATACAAAAGCATTTATTTATTGTTTCCCATAATCCCTTGGGCTCTCTTTAACTACAGTGGTATTGCCTTTATTTACTGTAAACATGTCTGGGGGCTTGGATCCTGCTCTGAATTAAACTGCCAATGGGGTTGGCAAGATTGCTTTATCAGTCTACCATGCAGAAACTCTGCTCAACGTGGAATCATGATTGGCTGGAAATCCTGTTTAAGTGCAACAGATCCACATATTACTACTTGTCAGGTTATACACATGTGCTATTTGATTGGAGCATTCTCTGTAAACTGAAATTTAGAACTTAGCCTTAAGGTAAAAGCCCAACTCTAGCCATATTTTTTGTTGAGGCTCTAGCCATATTTTTTTATATCTACCTGTGACCCAATGGAGATATTTCATCACTTCCTGTCCCTGTCACACAAGGACAAGGAATGGGAGAAATGGCTCTCTTTGGGGGAAATGGTTGTGATATAAAAACCTCAATGAAAAATATGGCTAGAGTTGGGCTTTAACCCTTAACTGAAAGGTTAACAGACAGCATAAAAACACTGAAACAAATCGAAGACACTATAATACAAACCTGGCAGAGACTCTAACATTTCACCTCTCCTTCACCTCCACTCAAGACAAAAAAAGGGCCTACGTTGACAGGCTTTTGTCCACTTTAAGCGGGTTTTACATTCCCATTCAAGTCTATGTTAACCACTTAAAGCAGGTTTAATGCAGTTCATATGAAGGTCAAATGCACCTGTCAATACATTCTGAATGTTCGCAGAAACATCTCAAACTGATGTCAACCTAATACCATTGACACAAGCCCAAAGCCCGTTGACACAGACCTTAAAACATTTTTGCTGGAGTTGGGCTTTCATGCTTAATTACTGATGGCTTCAATACTGGATGTGTATAACGCTTAGTTTGTTTTATTTTTGAAAGAAAAACAAAATACTTTAAAATTTAGAAGCATGTATCAGGGTTCTGTTAGAAAGATCATCATTCCCTGCTACATGCTCCTAAGTTTAAGAAAAAATATTTTTCCTTCCAAATGGTAGATCAAAAATAAAAATCAAACATAGGTATGCAAATATTGTTTGACTGTACATATTTATCATTGAATGCCTGTAATTAATATTTCATCAACAACTTTATCAATCTTCTGCAGCCTTGCATTGTTTGCAGGATGAGCCAGGAAATGCAAGTGAGCTTGTTATAAAAATAGACACCAAAAGAAGAGCATCTGCCTAAACAATTTTCCTGTTTGTCATTACAGGTGTCTTATTAAGGACTTTGAAAAAAGGCCATCAGTCATCCATCTACTGGAGCATCCATTCATCAGACAGGCACACGGCAAAGACATGGCCTTACAGAAACAGCTGGCTAGACTCATTGCCACCCAACAGCAGTCTGGTTCCATAGCAAAAACCAGGTACACCTGACCTGAAAATAAAGGGGTCACTATTCTGTATGTATCTGAAATCTCTCTCTCTCTCTCTCTCTCTCTCTCTCTCTCTATCTATATAGATATATATATATAGTATATATGGGTTGCAGATAAAACAAAAGTGTCTTCTTTTTAGACATTTAAACATTTACAGTCACCTGCACAAAAATAGAAGGGAAGTCTCCTAAAGGGAACACTGGTTGCAGTGACAGCTGTCACAGGTAGATGTCCTCTCACTTCCAATTGGTTTTGCAGGAGAGGAAGTTAATTGAAATCTCCCTGATAGGGAAATGGATGGAGATAAATACTTAAAGAAGAACTCCTGCACACTGCTAGGTTTAACTGCTGGTTTTGGTCTAGAGACTAAAATAAAGAAAATATACTCAAATGATCCTCGGTCCCACTTGAGTGCTAGACCGGTCCCTATGGCCTCATCTCCCCCGGGCCCTGGCAGTCTAAAGACCTGTAATGTCATCAAGTTTAATGCAGCTGCATTAGGCATGAGGACCCAAAGGGACATTCCACTGCCAGAATTGAGGGGGAGAGAGAAGCGAGCCGTCACTGCCACAGGACTGAGATTCAGGTGAGTGCATTTTCTTTATTTTAGCCTCCGGACCAAAATGAGCAGTTAAGGTGATACTATGTCAAAAAAGCTTTGAAGCTATTTCAAACGCTGAATAAATCACTTACAATGGATGCTGCTCCTTGATGTTTAAAAGCTTTAAGGGGTCTATTAACAATGCTAGCCGAAGGATCAGATGTAGCTTCGGCTGATCCTTCGGCTAGCTGCGCTTGCGGAGTCCTTCGACCGAACCGAAGGGCTGCTGTACGGGCTATTAACTATAGCCCATACAGCAGCTGAAGGCTGAGCTGAAGTGACAGCCGAAGCGCGGCGAACGGCCAGCTGAAGTCCTCGCAAATGACAGCTGGGCGGAGCTGCCGTGATCTCACAACTGTGATACAGTGCACAGTTGTAATGACAGATCAGCATTCCCAAATTTTAAAAAAAAAACAATATTTATTTCTTTTTTTTTTCCGATTGAACATTTATTTACATTTTTTTTTTTTAAATTCAACTTTTTTTTTTTTAAACACTTTTTTCATTGATCACCTATTCTGTTCAGTACCACGGAGGTACTGATCAGAATAGCCGATGCTATTCGCTCACTGCCGTTCGGCCCCTATAGGGGCAAATGGCAGAAGGTGAGCTGCCGGAGCTTCGGCTCAGGCGATCCAGATGTTGGATCGGCTGAGTCGAAGTCCTTCTGCACTTTGGCTCAGCCGAACATGAAGAGCATGTTCGGCTGACTGAATTGCAGCCGAAGGCAGCCAATATACGGCTGCCAATATACATCGGCAATATACAGTCAATGTATCCCTGAAATCAGCCTTACTGAACCGTAGTGAATAGCCAAACGTTGTTCGGCTCACTTCACTACGGCTCGGTTATTCCTCCGGCAGCTTAGTGAGTAACCCTGTCAGTTTCCTGCAGAATCATCCGGCTCCCTGAGCACTGGTCCTGATATGCTTTTTTAGGGTAGCTTCTTTCTCATGCAGGTTCCTATGGAACCCCACACACACACACACACACAAGCACAGCAGGGCAAACCACTTCCCTGCCCCCTCCACCTTCCTTCCTTCTCACTTCTCCAAGCTAGGAGATGGATATTTGCTGGAGACCGCTGTCCCTTGTGATCTTGTACTGGACAGGAAGTTGACTGCAAGGGTTAATTTTTCAATTGCCTGGAGTTCTCCTTTAAACAGAAATGCCAGTTCCCTCCAGGAAATTCATAATCGAATGATTGTTAAGAAGGTGGAAACTGATGCCTTCATATGTAACCGTGCAAACAGAACACACTCTAAGGCTAGGTTCACACCTGCACTACACCGCACGACACCCGGGACGCGCGTCCCGGGTGTCGTGCGGTCCCGCACAATGCAGGCAACGATTGCCGCGCCGGCAATCGCAGAAAAAAAGTTACAAGTACCTTTTTTTTGCGATCCACGACGGCTGATTTAGCTGCAATCGAGTTTGGAAAGAACAGATGGAATCGCGGCGGGAAACCGGTGTGACTGGGGTGCCATTAGAAAATAATGACTGACTGCGTGGCAATCCGTGCGGAATCGTGCACGATTGCCATGCAGTGAGGTGCCGTCTAGGTGTGAACCTAGCCTAAGACCACATTCACACTGAGCGATTTGTAGCAAGATTTCCGCTCAAATATCGCTCAAAAATCGTTCATTGTAGCTCGTCCAATGCATTTCAATGGAGCTGTTCACATCTCACAGCTCAATGTCGCCTGTAGCTTGTCGCTTGAACATGACCTATTTTTCCAGTGGATTTTTGTGCCATTTGGCCCAATAGGTTTTGATAGACTGGCAAAAGAAGCTCTACGTAGTGCGACAAAATGTGCACTGTAGCTCAATGTCGCTCAGCTCAAATCAGCGCTGAAATGTAGCTCAATGTGAAAGGGGTCTTAAAGACTTACACAGTTACCACCACATATAAATAGCTAAAAATATACCTCTTATTTCTTCCAAAGCAGAGTACTGTCTAAAAAACGTCACACATGAATCAACATATAAAAAAAGAATAATATCTCTTGTCATATTGCACAGGCCTCTCCCTAGAAGTATTCTATATAATGATCGCCTATTATGGTGTATCAATAAATCTCTAATATTTAACTAAAGGGTTAACATGGGTTCTATGCTGCCCACAGGCTGAACAAAAAGAAATCTTCTTGTTTATGACCAGCTTATAACTCCGGCAATATGGACACTATGCAAGTCTCCTATAACTCTAAATGGGTTATGATAATATTTGCAGTACACAAGGTTTGAATTGTCTTACCTTTGTTATAGACTTTTGATGTAGGTGATGTTTTTACATTTTTGGCCTTGTAGTTGTAAATGGTAAATCTTCTTGTAGCAGCTGCTGTTCTGCCTTTTCCCAGAGGGTGGCAGAGGATCCCTTCTATCAAGAAGTTCTTATCTATTTACTAGAATTTGCTAATGTTCCCGGCAGAGCAGCTTGACACTTCCAGATACTGTGACATGACAGAACTGTAACCTGGGCGGACTTTTACGCCTGTCCATTGACTCATATAATTGTATGTTGTGTGGGTTAGTCATACAATTAACGTTTTCTCCAAATTGCACGTCCAAGTCCCTGAGTTCATATACAGGAGGGCAATGAACAGTGTTTCACAACCGCTTTGTTTATCACAAAGAAGTGGCGAGATATTATAGAGAAAAATATATAGAACGTAGCAAATAGCAGTAAGAAATGAATCATTTGTTTCCTATCACTGTGGAAACGCGCCATGAAGCATTTACCAAAAGGAGGTTGATCTGACTTTACTGACTGTGAGGGGAGTTTATCAAAACTGTAGCAGACTAAAAACTGGAGCAGCTGTGCATGGCAACCTATAAGCTTCTCTCTTGTGTTTGTTCAGTTAAGATTTGAAAATGAAAGAGAGAAGCTGATTGGTTGCAATGCACAACTGCTCCAGTTTTTGTCTACCAGTTTTGACAAATTCCCCTTTGTGTGTATAGGTTATTTCACGCTAGCTTTTTAAAAATTATTATATACTATGAGGGGAATTTATCAAAACTGGAGCAGACAGAATCTGGAGCAGCTGTGCACAGTAACCAATTAGCTTCTCTCTTTCATTTTCAAACCCTAACTGAACACACTGAAGAGAGTTGGTGATTGGTTGCCATGGGCAACTGCTCCAGATTCTGCCTACCCCAGTTTTGATAAATTCCCCCCAGTATGTTTCTTGTGTTTCCAGTTGTATGAAATTCTCATACATTCTTATGCTTTTTAAGGTGTCTTAGAAGTGTCAGAATAATGTTTATGATTAATGTTTATAAATAATATTTATGAAAATATCAGAATAGAAGAAGGTGATGTAGTGGATATATTTCACATATATACATAGTCATGCTTGAGCCTTCTCTGGCCTGAAATGGATTCTATTATAGACCGAACGGGGTTGATTTACTAAAGAAGTGTAGAGGATGATGAGGTGAAGCTTCATGCACTACCATATTCAAGGTAAATTTTAAAGTAGAGCTCCAGGACAAATGTTTCTTAATCTTTGCATTGCACCCACACCTGCACTGCAAGGGTTAAGTGCCTGCTTTTGTCTAGATGCTAAAAAAAAAAGGTGTACTCACCAGAACCGCAGAGCCCAGTGGTGTAACAATAGCCATATGCGGCTGCTTTGGGGCCTGGAAGGGGGCCCCAATAAGGATTGCAGAAGTTGCTACTGACATTGAGATTATTAATCAAGAAGAGCTGACATCAGATATACAGGGAGGAGGACTATGCAGGCAGCTCTCCTGCTAGCTGACTTTAATATCATTGACAGTAGGGAGGTTGCTGGGGGACGCCATAAAAATGTTGCTATGGGGCCCCATGATCTGTAGTTACGCCCCTGGCAGAGCTGTCTGGCTACTAGACCGGTTACTGCAGCCTCATCTTGCCTGGGTTTTGGCGGTCTAAGCCCTGCTGACATCATTATGTCTAATGCAGTCCATTCACCTGCATTAGACATGAGTATATCTTCTGTATTCTGGCCCCTATACCAAAATGAGCGGTTAAAGTGACACTAAACTCAGGAGTTAAATCTTAAAAATGCATTCTAGTACCTTAACTAGTAACAATGATGTATCTTGTAACACTATTGTGGAACGGGCCCCTTCAAGGAAACCTTGATGTTGCAACTGACCGGGGTCTCAGTGAACTAGAGACTGATGGGACATGAGTTCTTCACCCAGGAGGAGATGATCAGTACTGCCTGTGCAGGACTACATATGCCAGAATACTGTGGGGGCAGGGGGAAAGGCACCCTGGTTGCGGAGGGACCATCTGGCGGCATTCTCCGGGTGGAGGTCGAGAGAGCAGGACGTGTGTGCAGCTGTTGCGACCAGAGGGTTGTTGTGCCTGCATCCAGCATTCCTACTTACCCTGTCGG